CTCAGGCCCCAGATGGCCTCGTCCAAAAGCTACGGATCCCCCCTGATCAGCGGGTCCACCCCGAAGCACGAGCGCTGCTCCCCCAGCCACAGCAAGTCCCCGGCCTACACCCCCCAGAACATCGACAGCGAGAGCGAGTCCGGCTCCTCCATCGCCGAGAAGTCCTACCAGAACAGCCCCAGCTCCGACGACGGCATCCGGCCCCTGCCCGAGTACAGCGCCGAGAAGCACAAGAAGCACAAAAAGGAGAAGAAGAAAGTGAAGGACAAAGACCGGGACAGAGAGCGGGACCGGGACAAGGACAGGGACAAGAAGAAGTCCCACGGGATGAAGCCGGAGAGCTGGTCCAAGTCCCCGATCTCGGCGGAGCAGCCGCTCTCCATGGCCGGCAGCGCCATCCTGGCGGCCGAGAGGCCGTCCCGGGCCAGCCCCGAGTTCCTCATCGGGGAGGAGGATGATGATCTCATGGATGTGGCTCTAATTGGCAATTAGTTCTCTGACAGGAGCTGTCTGCAGGGTCCTGGGGGGGGAAGGAAGGAAGGAAGGAAGGAAGGAAGGATCCATCCCAAACCCGCCACGAGTGTGTGTTTGGAGAGGGGAAAAAAAAGTATTTCCAAGGTATTTCCAAGATTTTCAGATCTCCAGGGTCTGAGCAGGAGGTGTGAGTGCCAACACCTGCGGGCACTTCCACTCATCCTGAACTTACAAGTATTATCATCCCACTGGTGGAGTCCTGCGGGTGAAGCTGATTGTGGGAATGTGGGAGCAGCCCCCAAACTGGGGCCAACACAGACATAGGCTGGTCTGGGACATCCCAGTCCCTCTGCCCTCATCCCATTCAGGAGAAGTTCCTTTTGGATGTAGGAAGTTTTAAAGCTGTTATTTTAGGAAATGTTTTAGGGGTTGGGTTTTATTCTTTGGAAGAAGGAAAACCATGAGGGTTTTAATTTATTTGATTTCCGTGGCGTTTCTTCACCCAATGCCCAGCTCAGGGCGGGCTCTGCGTCCTCCTGGAGATCAGGATTTTATCCCAGGTCACAGCACTGAAGGGTTTCTGCCTTGGGTTTGACTTCCCTTTTTTTTTAGCTATTTATTCAGCTCCACATGGGAATGCCCTGTGCTCCTTGTTATCCCCAAAGGGAATTTGGGCAGCTCTGGTGATGTTGGTGACATCCTGACACGGTGGAATTCCAGCAGATCTCAGTTGGAAAGGGGCCCCTGTCTCCATCCGAGCGCTGCTTCCCTGGGAGCTTCCCTGGAATCCCCTCGTGCTCCTCAGCTGGGAACTGCGGTCACACACACAGGGATTAGTCTGGTGTCCTGCTTGGCACTGGCAGTGCCTGGAGAACAGTCCCTGAGCAGCTCAGCTGGGAGAAGAGTTGCAGCAGAAGCGCCGATTTCCTTAAAAGATGGATTTTGCCCTTTTGGCTGGAATGAGGAGCATGACTCAGGCGTCCTCTGGGTCCTGGCTGCTCTTGTGGTCCCTGAAAGGAAAGGAGGCTCAGGGGAGTGGTTTTATTTTTAAAAGCAGTTTCATCTGATTCACTCGAGAGGAATGTGGGAAATCAGGAGTTCTGCAAACACATCTCCTTTGGGATCACGGACTGAGTGGGATCACGGGCTCCTGCTCCCACTGGAATTTGCTGTCTGTTCCTGGAGACCAGGATTTCCCTGTGGGAACGAGGTTCTGCTTCCTTTTTGGGGCCTCAGCAAGAAAAGGTGTAAAGGATTTGAGTTCCCTTTAAACCACTGAGATTTCCCGTCCTGGGCTCACCCCGAGGATACCCCAGGAAAGCTGTTTCTTTTCCAGCTCTTTGGAAAGGCCAATGTCTTTGTCCCATTAATTGTAGGGATTTTTCACCTCTTCCTCCTGCCTCCAGCTGAATTCCAGAATGTGGGAGTCTTGGAGTTCTCCCAAGCCCTCCCAGCTCTGGAGAACTTTCCCTTCCTGTATTATCCAATATTTATCCTTTGTCCTGGGCACTGCAGCCTCCCCCTCCCCAGTGCTCCAGGGGCTGGAATGATAGGAAAATGGGAAACAAATCCCAACCTGGAGCAAATCCCATTATCAGCATTGGAATCATGTGACTGCCACGACGAGGATGTAAGGAATACAGTGCCAGAGGAATTTACCTGGAGACCCTGCACTGGGAATGACGCCGGCTTGGCCTCCGGAGGGATCCTGGCCCCTCTCCCGTGTTTATTTAACTCGTTTTTATGACAAAACCCCCTTTGATCCCTTCCCAGTTGTGTGAGGGCACAACCAGCCTTCCCAAAGAAGAGCTTTCAAGTGGAATCCAGGCTGGGAATCCCCCAGGAGCCGTGTTTTCCTGCTTGGAAACACATGAAAAATTGGAAGGAAATCCCGTCCAGCAGCAAAATGAACACAGAAAACGTGTTTTAGAGGAACAAACTGCACACGTTTCCTTTCCCCTCACCCAGACCAAAGCTCAGTATCCAAAATTCCCCCCCTGTGGAAGGTGGGAACAGAGGGAACAATGTCTCCTCCGGCCACTGCCAGAGGCACAGGTCCCAAATTTAAAGCTTTTCCCCCCGTTTTGGTGCCCTGTCCCCTTCCAATGACAAGTCCCATGAGATAACTGAGGTGTGAGACCGCACAGAGGCTCTCTGGGCTCTGAGAAATGGTTTATTTTTGAGCTATTTTTGCTTATTCTCGATGATTTTACATCTTTCAGTATTTTGGAAAGATTAAAATAAAGTGAAAATAAAAAAAAGTGAGGCAAATCTTTTAATCTCAGGTGGTGAAGCCAACACGGAGATTAAAAGAAGCTGGTTCTTTCCTCGCTGATCATGCTGTACATAAACCCCTGAGCTGGAGAAAGCGCTGGAATTGTAAATAATCCCGGCTCCCGCGGCAGCTTTTTGGGGCGGAAAGTGGAATTTTGACTTTTTTTTGAAATATTGCAGAGATCACGTTTATTTACATGCAAATAAACCCCTTTGGTACAAAGAGCTCTCGTGGGGGGTTGTTTTTTTGGGGGGGGGGGAGGCGGGGAAATGGGGGGGGCGATCCCCGCCACGCTTGATTTTCCCGCGGGAATGACATCATCGTGACGTCACGCCGGCGCGCGGCGCTGATTGGCGGAGCGCGGCGGTCCCGGAAGGGACGGGCGGGGGACGCCCCCCCCCCAAGCCGGGACCCCCCGATCCCCGCAGCCCCCCCGGGACCGGGGGGACGATCCTGCGGGTCCCGGAGCCCCCCGGGAAAAAGAGGGGGTGGGGCAGCGCCCCTGCCCGCCCTCCCCCTCCCCAGCCGGGGGAGGGGGCGGCAGGACCCCGGCGGCGGCGCGATGGGGGCGGCGGCCTGCGGGGTAGGTGGGGGGGCAGCCCCGGGGTGTCCCCTGAGCCCCCTCCCTTCTGACCCCCCCCCAGGACAGCCCCGGCCCCCGGCCTTTTCCCCAGGAGCAGCCCCGGGCCCGAACCACCTCCCTTTTTTTCCGCCTCCTGGGGCAGCCCCTCTCCCCGTCCCCTCGCCCACCTCGGGGCAGCCGCTGTCCCGGACCCCCCCGCCCGCCCGGATCCCTCTCTCCTTCCCCTCGGCTCCCCTCTCCTCCCGCGGGGCACCCGGACCCCCGTCCACCCTCCCCTTTTTCCCCTCAACCTGGGGCACCCCCTCGCCTCCTTCCTCGCCCCCCATCGTCCCCTCGGCCCCCCCGGGGCAGCTCCGGATCCCCCCACCCCGCTCTTCCTCTCCCCGGTGTGGGTGTCCTCCCTCCACCTCCCCCTTCCCTTTCCCTCCCAGGACATCCCCAATCCCTCTTCTCCCCACCGTGTGTCCCCCCTCCACCTCCTCCTTCCCCTTCCCCCCGCTTTACCCCCCCCGGTTCTCCCCCCGACCCTCCTTCCCCCCGGGGCACCTCTGTGTGTGTGTCCCCCTCCCTTGTCCCTCTCCCCCCCATTCCTATTCCCTCTCTCCCCCCTTTCCCATTCCTATTCCCATTCCCTCCTCTTTCACCCCTCATTCCCATTCCTTCCTGTCCCCCCCCATTCCCATTCCCTGTCCCACTCCCATTACCCCTTTCCCCCCTCTGTCCCTTCCCATTCCCATTCCAATTCCCGTTCCCATTTCCCCCTCTTTCACCCCCCACTCCCGTTCCCATTCCCTGCCCCCTCCATCCCATTCCCCGTTTCCCCCATTCCTGCTCCCATTTCCCATTCCCCTGTTCCCGCTCCCGTTCCCTATTCTCCCCATTCCCGTTCCCTATTCTCCCCATTCCCGTTCCCTATTCCCCCCCATTCCCCTCCATTCCCTATTCCCGCTCCCATTCCCTATTCCCACTCTCATTCCCTATTCCCATTCCCATTCCCTATTCCCCCCATTCCCATTCCCTATTCCCCCCCATTCCCTATTCCCCCCCATTCTCATTGCCCCTCCATTCCCGCTCCAATTCCCTATTCCCCCCATTCCCATTCCCTATTCCCCTCCATTCCCATTCCCTATTCCCCCCCATTCCCTATTCCTTCCCATTCCCATTTCCTCTCCCATTCCCGCTCCAATTCCCTATTCCCCCCCACTCCCATTCCCTATTCCCCCCCATTCCCATTCCCGCTCCCATTCCCTATTCCCCCCATTCCCATTCCCGCTCCCATTCCCTATCCCACTCCCATTCCCTATCCCCCCCATTCCCATCCCATTCCCACTGCCATTCCCGCTCCCATTCCCTATTCCCCCATTCCCACTGCCCCGCTTCCCGCTCCCATTCCCTATTCCCCCACTGCCATTCCCGCTCCCATTCCCTATTCCCCCATTCCCGCTCCCATTCCCGCTCCCATTCCCGCTCCCATTCCCGCTCCCATTCCCTATTCCCCCATTCCCACTGCCATTCCCGCTCCCATTCCCTATTCCCCCATTCCCACTGCCATTCCCGCTCCCATTCCCTATTCCCCCATTCCCACTGCCATTCCCGCTCCCATTCCCTATTCCCCCATTCCCACTGCCATTCCCGCTCCGTGCCGCCCCCCCGCCGCTCCCGCTCCCTCCCCGCTCTCGGGCGGCCAATGGTGGTTCCCGTTGCTGGCGGGTGCGCCGTGTTTTTGTTTTGGGTCGAAGTTGAGGCCCGAGCGGACGCGGCGGCGGCGCCGGGCCCAGGCCGGACCGCCGGGACCCCCCCCGGGACCCCCCCCGGGACACCCCCGGGACCCCCCCCGGCCCCTCCTCACCCCCCTTCCCCCCCGCCATGCGCAGGGACATGAACGGGGTCACCAAGAGCCGCTTTGAGGTGAGGCCCGACCGGCCCCGCGGGGGGAGCCCCGGCCCGGCCCGGCCGAGGGGGCGGGGGGGGACCGGGGAGGGGCTTTGTGAGACCCCCCCGAGCCCCCCCCGGACCCCCGGCCCGGACAGCGCGGCCCTGGGGGGGGCACGGCCGGGGGGGGCCGGGGGGGTGGTTTAATGGGGAGGGGGGGTCGTGTTCTGGAGACGTGTTTGGGTGCCCGAGGGGGGCTCAGGGCTGTGACCCCCCCCCCGGTTTGGGGGCTGTTGGTCCCCATTTCGGGGGGTGGTGTTTTTGGGGGGCTGTGGAGGGGCTCTGTGAATCGGCCGGGAGAGGCTGTTTAAATGGGGGGTGTCGTGTTTTGGGGGGGTTTTTGGGGGTGTGTGGGGGGCTCACGGCTGTGACCCCCCCGGTTTAGGGGGTGTTGGTGTGAAACGGCCCCATTTTTGGGGAGGGGAGATCTTTATTCGGGGGCCTGTTTGAATGGGGAGGGGGGTTCCTCTTCTGGGGGTGTGTTTGGGTGCCCAAGGGGGACTCAGAGCTGTGACCCCCCCGACTTGGGGGGTGTTGGTCCCCATTTCTGGGGAGTGGTGTTTTTGGGGGGCTGTGGAGGGGCTCTGTGAATCGGCCGGGGGGGCCGTTTGAATGGGGGGGGGGTTCGTGTCTGGGGGTGTGTTTGGGTGCCAAGGGGGACTCAGGGCTGTGACCCCCCCGACTTGGGGGGTGTTGGTGTGAAACGGCCCCATTTTTGGGGAGGGGGGATGTTTATGGGGGGGCTGTTTGAACGGGGAGGGGGGATCGTTTTCTGGGGGTGTGTTTGGGTGTCTGTGGGGGCTCAGGGCTGTGAGGATAAGGTTTGGGGGGTGTTGGTCCCCATTTCGGGGGGGTGATGTTTCTGGGGGGCTGGGGGGGGGCTCTGTATGAATAGGGCTGGGGGGTCGTGTCTGGGGGTGTGTTTGGGTGCCCAAAGGGGGGCTCAGGGCTGCGACCCCCGTGGTTTTGGGGGGGTGTTGGTGTGAAACTCCTCCCCCCGCCCCTTTTTGGGGGTCTCTGTGTTCCCCTTTCTGATCTAAACTCCCTCGGGGGGCCCCTCTAAGAACGGGGCTGGGGGGGGTTCTGGCCCAGCCCTGCAGACCGGGGGGGTCTCAGGATGCTCGGGGGGGGGTCTCAGGCCTGGTCCCTCCCCACGTTTGGGGGGGTGTTGGTGTGAAACTTCTCCGCCCCCCCGCCCCATTTTGGGGGTCCCCCCGGGGAGGGGGGCACAGCCGCTGCCAACGTGTTGCTGGCAGCGAAGTTGATGATGGAGCAGCAGAGGTGGGAATTGCGCCTGGAAAACACCACAGCCTTTGGAAGGGAAGGGAAGAAGGGGGGGGCGGGGGGTGTCGGTGGCCCCAGCGCGGCTTTTTTTTGGGCAGTAGCCGGGAAAAATTTGATTAGAGGGGAGAGAGGGGTGGGGGGGTGGATGGAGGGGACGGAAGGAGCGGAGGGGGAACAATGGGATCTATTGAAAAGGCCGCGGCACAAAGCGGAGCGCGGAGCCAGGGCGATTCCAGCCCGCATTGTTGTCCCAGCTGTCTTCCCGGGGGAGGAGGAGGGGACAGCGGAGGAAGGGCAGCACCAGGATTTGCTTCCCAAGCGCCGGGGAGAGGCCGTGGAGATGGAATTCCCTCCTGCCCGCTCCTCCGGACTGCCCGGCCCGCGGGGAGGGACTGAAAGGCGGCAGGAAAAGAGCCTGGAACGGTAAAGATGCGGCTGTTCCCCCTCCGTGGAGAGGGACGGGATGGAGAGCCGGGGCAGACGCTGGTTTATGGGAATCCGGAGAGCGTCTGGCGTGGAATTCCGCGGGAGATCGGCCCTGGAGCTGAGAAAGGTGCAGGAAGTGCCGGGGGTGGGGTGGTGATACCGCACCTGGAATTGTTTTCTTCCTCTATCAAACCCGTAGCAGGGTCTGTGTTTGGGCCGGATTTTTTTTTTTTTAGTGTTACAGGTTTTGTTTTTTTTTTTAGTGTTACAATATTTCTGTAGCATCCAGAACTGAAAGCTTTGGAACAACCCTGGGAACTCCGGGAGAGGAGCCTGCACGTGAGCCCCGGGTTGTCCAGGGTTATTGTTTTTACTGTTCTGGGCTGTTCTTGGCTGCACAGACTTTTTTATTTATTCTTTTTTTTTTTTTTTTTTTTTTTTTTTTACCCCTGAGAGCTTTTATTGTTCACTCCTGCAGAGTGGCTGGTTGCAGAGCAAAGTGTAAAACCAGGTTGGTAACAGACTTTTTGGGGGGCAGCATCGACCTGCTTTGCTTCCTTATCCTTCGTCCTCAGTCCTGGAGTTCCTTCCAGTTTGGGGAGAGGTTTCATCAGGGTTGTAGCAGGACATGATTAACCCAATTCATTGGGGAAAAGGAGTGGGGAAGAGCTTTGTTTGCCTTGTTTTGGGTGGGGTGGGGCTTTTTGTTTTTTTTTTGTTTTTTTTTTTGCTGGAATGTTGTTTTCTTCTCGTGGTAAAAAACGAGTTGGGAAATGAGCAAAATGCTCGGAGAGTTATCGAGGCCTAAATTAATTTTTAAGGGCTATATTTGTACAGGAAGAGTTGGTGTGTTGTAAAAAGGCTTATCTGGGGCTGCAAGAAGTCCCTCTAAACATTATCCTGGTTTTTGGCTGGTTTGGTCACTGTGTTTTGCCCAGAGAAGCTGTGGCTGCCCCTGGATCCCTGGAAGTGTCCAAGGCCAGGTTGGATGGGGCTTGGAGCAACCTGGGCTGGTGGAAGGTGTCCCTGCCCATGGCAGGGGGTGGGACTGGGTGGGCTTTAAGGTCCCTTCCCACCCAAAGCATTCCCTGATTCCAAATCCAAGGCATGGCTTTGATTATCTCTACCCCACTCACCTGTATAACCTGGGAAGGAGGAGTCTGGAGCTGTTTTCCTTTAAATCCACGGATTTCCAGTGAGGTTCTGCTGGTCTGAAGAGCTTCCAGAACCGTGAGTGTGTCCACACCTGTAAATAGGTTTATTTATCATGAGGGGCAGGACGGGTGGAAATTCCTAAAAAACAGTCTGTAAACGTTTTGTTTGGAAGGGAAAAGTCCCGTGGGAGCTCAAATTTCATGGGACAGGAGGACAACTGGGCAGAAATTGGGGGAGAATTGAATCTGCTGTTGAGAAATGTGGAATATTGTGAGGTCATGAAGGCAGCACAGGGCTGGGGGAAGAGTTCTCTCCCTCCTCATTCCCTGTGGATACCCAGGGTAGTTCCCCTGGCTGAGGAGAGGGAAACAGGGCCCTTGGAGTCTTATCTTGGGGTAAAAATAGCCTGATCTGGGGCTGTGACTAATATATTGTGTCTGATTCAGCCTTTAAATACCAAGTGAGTGGTTGAGGGGGAGGTGGGGTTGGGTTTTCACTTGGTTTATTGTCTTTTGTGAGGCCACGTAAACAGATTCCTGAGCCATTGTTGGTGGGTAATTCCCAAATCCAGTCGGGATAGGGGTTTAATAATATAACCATTTCCTACCCTGGGAATAAAATATGGTGTGGAATATGGGCTGGGCTCCTGAAATCAGGCTCGAGTGTGGGTTTCTGGTTCCAGGAAGAGTGGGAATTCTCTCTTGTAAATGGGAGAATGAGCCATGCCCGGCTCCAGGAGCATATTTGGAATTAGTCCCTTTTGCAGGAGGTGTGGCCACCACGGGGAAAATAACCACTTACTGCAGCAAAGCAAACAAAAAGGGAAAACATTACCCAGATCGACTCCTAATTCTCTGTGGTGTCGGTTTAATGTGGAACATGCCCTGACACATCCCAAGCCTGGCTTATATTTGGGATTTCTCTGCTTCCTGCCCGGTGAAGTCCGGCCAGATTGGAGCAGGGAGGGAGGGGAGGCACCTCCTGGAGCTTTGGAGTGACTCCTGGTGCTCCTGGAGAGCTCCTAAAGGCCTGAACTTCCATCACTTCTTTAACCCGGCTTGTCCCTGCTCCCCTGCCCTGGGATGGCATCAGGAGGGAGATGGAGTGTTTTAGGCCTGTTTTCATTCACTCCCTGCTCTCACAGGCTCATTATCCCAAATAAATGCCACCTTTTGGGGCAGGGAATTCTCAGAGCCCTCTGGTTTGCAGGGCTGGGTGGAGGGGGTCAGGGGTCTCTGACCTGGGCAGCTGAAAGGGCTGATCCAGCCCGTGGTCAGGAGCAGTTTTATGTGGATTTATAGAACAGATTTATGTGGAATAGTGACCTGTTTGCTGCTGGGGTGACCCTGGGACAAGTCCTGGACAGGCTCCAGGCCTGAAGCCCCCCCAGGCAGGATCTCAGAGTCCCCCTGAGCCAGGGTTGAATCATTACAATCCCTTTTCTCCCCCCCCCCCCCAGACTATGAGCTGTATGTGTAGTCTCCTCTACATCCTTAAAAACACCACCACACAAAAAGCTCCATCCTTTCCAGCTTCCTCTGGGAGCCTCCAGACCCTCCAATTAGCAGGAGCTGCTCCTGGCTCTAAACTGTGTGTTTATGGGGCAGTTTGTCCTAAAAATAAAACCCCTGTGAACTCCAGGGATGTGTCTGAGGAACCAGAGTCTGGGTGAGCCTGGTCAGCCCCAGGAATGCACCGATCCAGGGGGTTCCACAGGCTTCTCTCCTGGATTCAGGATCCTCAGTGGGAGGGAATTCTGACCCTCTGTGGTTCCCAGGCCTTTTTTGGTTTTAGAGCCACGAAACGAGCTCGGCTCGAAGCGAAAAATGGGAAATGTCAAATGCTCCAAAATCGAGTTGCCTTCTAATAATTAATCCTGTCTGTGTGCAGAAAGCTGAATTGAATAATCCCACTGACCCTAATCCCATTTTGGAATCTGCCCCTGAAATGCTCTCCCTGTATTTCAGGTTTATTTTTTGGGGGTTTTTTTTTGGCTTTAGAGCTGATCTTTTCGGGGTTGAGTCTGTTCCCTTTCCCAGGGTTCTTCCCTGCTTCCTGCTGTCCTGGCTGGAGCTTTGCTGTTCCAAGGAATGAAGGTTGTGTAAACAGAG